GTTGACCTGTCCGGTCGGTTCCTACATTGAAATTTACGAAGTTCAGAAGAGGAAATTTAGATGCTTCAAAAGTGCGCTGGTGGAGAACTGATACCACGTTGGTCTTTCATGTCAGATGTCCAGAGTGCGAACCCGGAACGGTCATTGATGAGCTCTACCATGCTGGAATATGACAGCCACACCAAGCACTGAAAACGCTCAATATTCCCTATTCGTTTTCTCGCCCTTTTGTTGCACAAAATCGTCGAATTCACTTGGCAAAGCGTTTGATACCGAAGACGCTGTTAATCTGTCCATTGTCCCACAGGATGAGAGTGGCAAGTTTGAATTTAGTGGAACGACCTTACTTGCAATCCTGCATATCAATATATCGGAATTTAAATAGGTCTGGTGAATTCCTTGGCAAGTTGATCACGTGACAGTTGGTCTGTTCTCTGAGCTTGGCGATTGGCTTCCAAACGCCTTATCTATATGAAAAGAGACATCGCCATTACTTGCACAGACGTTTGCGAGCAAAAACATTTATCTTACATTTTCCAACAAAATGTCGAACTGTGAGCAAGTTTTTGGAAACACTTGATTCATTGGCGTCAAGAAAAACTTGGCTTCGGTGGGTAGCAAATCAACGCGTTGGAATACAGCACAAGTTTTCCGTGACATTCAGGAGAAAAATGTAGCAAGAATCATAGCTATTTAACAATACTGTCTAGGCAAAACAGTTGTTCTACCCCCGATAAGGTCACCTGTTCTGCAATGTCAGCTTCGAATACCTTTAGAGGGAATCAGATATAGACCCATCAAGAAAGGTTGTACATGTGTATCACATCAAAGTTGTGGAACTGACAACCTTGGTCGTAATCGGGGATTTGGCATTCATGGTGAAACTCCCGGGGTCACTTGTATTCAGAAAAACAAAATATTTCATAAAGAGGTTGAACAAACATCCTACCGAGGACTGACTTGTGGAATTTCAGGAAAAAGAACACAGTGAGGAATATTTTTGCAAAATTTCAAACTGTGCAAAATATGAAACTGAAAACAAATACTCGAGGCTAATAAATACTCAACTGTCAGGTAATATACACACTGACTAAAATTTCACCTTCTCTTTGCGTGATTTGGGTGTAGACTCCGAAATAGATACTAAAACCGCGAATCTTTACGACTCATTTAAGCCGTTCTTATGGCTGCAGTTTCTTCCACAGATTTGAAGACTACTGATGAAGGGAAGGACCCCCGTCGCTGCAAAGTTTTTTTCATTAGAAAACACGAATTAAGTGGTTAGGAGGCATCAGAAACGAAAGTAAAATCTCATCTACACAGAGCTTTTGAAAAGGGAATATTCTTCGTAGAGTTTTTCTTTGAATAATCAACACTAAACAACAAAAATAAAAACGATAAAAAGCGGTTCGGAATTTTATTGGTAAAATTCACCTTCAATCAGGTGCGTGGGCAGGGCTTGGTTTTCGGACAAAGTACTACTCGGTTGCTTCGTCAGTAGTATATACCGTTACGCTGACACAGATGTGCAAAAGTAGTGTGGAAGTGAGCACCGTTCTCTCATTATGCACAAGTTAGGCGCTGATGTATTCTGGCTGGTGTTCACACGCCACACCCAAGCAATCTGAACTTTACACGAGTATGCCTGGCATTAGGTTCGATTTACAAACTTACTACCATTGAGAGGAAGAAGGCCTTCTGTACAGAGTTATTTATTAGAAAATGCCAACTGAACAGTTACAGACTATTGGACAGGGAAGCAAAACTCTCATAAACATGTTGTTTACAAAAACTGAATATCCATCTTCTTTTTGAACGCGTCTTCCTGTTGTTCTATATTCATTGACTGTTACTCAAATGCAGTCGAATGCTACAAACTGACTTCACAAATTCCGTAAGAGATCTCCCTTATCAAGGGACGTGAAGCGGATTTACGAGAGAGCATACTACTCGCATGCCTCATCAGTAGTATCCACCGTTACACCATTATCTGCAAATGTCTCTTCTGTCTATAGTGTTCCCTCTTGTTTCTGCTTCACATGTATGACTTAAAAATCTCTTACGGAAACATCATTGAACCGTTTCATAAACTGCGTTGAATATTTTTGGACGACGGCGAGATTCTTCACGGTGAAAAACGGCAATCCGAAGGCGAGGACATCCGGGAGGAATCCAGTACCTTGCGGGACAACAAGTTTGACAAATTGACTTGAACAATCAGCAAGGAAGGATATGAACACCATTTTCGATTCCTTGACCTCTGGTGCAGCAAGGATTTCAAGAAGGTAGGTCACCCATTTCTGAAATGCTATTGGCCAATGGAAACGCAGGTAATTCCAGTTGTGCCGCAAGTCGCGGTAATATCACTGATTAGGACGTGAGTAAGACATCTGGTTGTGTGCTACTCATTTGGTCGCTGGTCTACTACTTAGTACACGAGAAAGCACGGTGTGTGTGGGGGTGGGGTAGCGGTGTGTTCTCGGGTCCAGTGTTCCACACAAAAGGATCAGTACTGTGAAGGAAAAATATTCAAAGTGGATATGAATGTGCTATCAGCACATATAAGGCACTTGGCCCCATGTTACGGTTGGCTATCAACACTGCCGATTGTGTAGAAGTTTGTTAGACAGCTTTTTAGGGGAGGAAAAACGCCTGAAAGCGATTCAGGGGTCTCGGAGTCACCAAATTTCAAATTGCTTGGGGATACCAATAAGAAAAATGGAAGGTATTCTCTGGATCGTTTGGTCTTTCGTCTGTAGCCAACCTGCTGTATTTTCTTGAATGCCATTACAAGTCTGAAGGGAGCGATTTCAAGGAGGAGTAGGGTTCATAACTCGGGACTAGTCTGAGAGTAGAATGGGTTTTTATTTCTCCCATACAACATTGATAAAGAAGTAATCTAGTAAAAATGGGAACATACTGCATCATAGTTTCGCTAGCCAGTTACAATATATTTAAAATAGGCCGTGTTTGGACGCGTTCAGTTATCTTCTTTCTTCGAGGGCCGCCATCTCGCGGAACCGTCTAAAACCGATGGAATCTGAAAAGAATTCCACGAGGGATCGTGGTAGCTGTGGGAGAAGTGAGCTCAACTGCAAAGTGAATCCCATGATGTAGAAGACCTACAGCCAAGAACGACATCATGCTGATTGACGGAGAAGCGACGGTTAAATCGTCAACCAGGATGATTTGATGTCTGGCTGACACATCGACCAAGTGGTTTGGCCGCCAGAACATTTGAGCTCGGAAAAACACGAGAGATTTTCAGCAACCTTATGAGTAGTACATTACAAACACGATGCTTCCCTTTATGGACGAATAAACCCCAGTGCTCCAAGCATACATTTTCTACAGATTAAACGCCACCAAGATGATTCGGAACAAACTTGTTTCTGAGTAAACGTGAAAAATTAGAATATATATAACATGATAAGCCAAATTTTTCATGTTCTGTCGAAGACCTGAAGGAAACCTACGGGCGTAACTGTGATACTACTGATGGGGGGTATGCGAGTAGTATATTTTCTCGTAAATCCGCTTTGCGTCTCTTGAAAAGTGAAATCTATTATCGAACTTGTGGGGTCACATTTGCTTGGATTTGAGTAACAGTCAATAAATATCCAGGAAAGTTCAGGAAGAGCGTTCAGGGAGAAATGGATATTCAGTTTTTGTAAACAAGCCCAGTAGTCTGTAACAGTTCGGTTGGCATTTTTTAGTGTTTTTTGGTCTTACCATCATCATCATCATCCTCAAATCTTGGTCTGAACTGTGTGAAGGCAGTAGAGAACTTTTGTGTTCGCGGATTCTGGGGGTCCTAACAGGGATATCTTCTTGTCAGTGAGCACTGTACAGCTGTCTCATTTTTATCGGCAGTGTGCTCTCAAGACAGTCCAGAGGGTCTGAAACCAGGACTGGACGGAGTGTCGTGCCATCAGTTGCTGTCGGACCAGTTTGTCGGAGGAGTGCAGCCCGCGCTTAGTGCCCAGTTGTGTGTGGAGGAGCTGGTGCATCTGGCACGGGAATTGACCGAGAAACCACAGGCCATGTTGCCGCCGCAGAAGAACAGGGATGGTTCAACAGTGAACGAACTGCAGACCAGAGTGGACCAACCCGCGGAACGGCTTGTAGCCATGAAGATAGAATCGAGAAGGTGCACTGGGACGAGCCAGTGCTACAAGTGTGGCAGGCCTGGACATTGGAAGAATCAATGCCCTCGTACCGGAAGGCCTGTGCATAACAAAAATTTGGATTTCTTCTCTTTTCCTAGGTGGCTGGCGATTAGCGCAGTGACGCAGGCTATCATACAAGCCGTTATCGAGATAGACAGGAAGAGGGAGTTGTGCTTGATTGATACAGGAGCAGGTGTATCGCTGAGGCAAAGAGGGAACCAGGCTGAACGCAGACCGTGCACACTAGCCGTGAGAGCAGTGAGTGGATATCGACTGAAGATTGACGTATTGTCAATGCACTCGATACGCCGTGCAGCCCGCGTTCCTGATCAGCCCAGACGTAGAACAGACAATATTCGGGGGCGGATAGTCTCAAGGGCACAGACTCCGTGGTTGACCTAAAGCAGGGAAAGCTGGTGACAAGGTATGGCGTAGTACGTTTCTGTCATTTGAAGAGACCTTCTGTATGTGCGTGAGCAGGAATAAAGTTGGCCGCGGATCGGCCATTAGTGTTTTCTGGTCCCATTATCATCATCATCCTCAAATCGCGGTCTGAACTATGTGAAGGCAAATCTTGGGATCCCAACAGAGATATCTTCTCGTCAGTGAGCATTGTACAGCTGTGCATCACAAGAAACTCCATAGAGTCTCGAACCGGTATCCTCTCGGCTAACAGTTTGGCTGTACAGAGAAGGAATAAACTTCGCCAGATGAGTGAAACTTCCATCCGATAGGTCATCAATTCAAGGATCCCCTCAACATATGTGAGCACGTGATGTGGATCCCGTGACTGAGCGGCGCTATATCCTGTCTGGGTGCGAGTGAATCACAATGCTGATCAGCCGCACTGCTAATCGCTACAGTGTTTCTTGGCTTCAATCAGAGGACAAAATCTTCAGTGGTGTTCTCTTGAAAGCGGATTTTGAGTTCAGAATGGCACAGAAATTTGCTTCCTCCCAACGCTGGGGACGTTCAATTTGTTTGCAAAAGAGTTAGTTGAACGTTACCCTTGAAAATACTGTGTTTTACGTTTTGGTTTTGACACCTGTAACGTGGAAATTTGTTTCGACGTACAGACCCACTTTCTGGTTTCGGATAGACAGCATCTAACGACGGATTTGGTCGAGTAATGCTATAGATAACCTCGTCGTCTCATTTGCTCGTACTATCGTGGGCATGATGTGACTGATCACAGAAGACCAACCCGCTAAGTGCCATCATCTTCATCGACCACACTGAACAGGACATGGTCCTTCGAAAACCTTGTGTTGTATCGTGGGTGGCCGTCTATCGGTTACGTCTGCACCGAGCCTGCCAGACTACGCGAGAAGGAGAAGACAGAGAACCCCGGACATGGCTGTATTGTCAGGACACAAGATACAGAGATTCTGATAGGATGACTAAATGGCCAAATATGATCGTTCACTTGTTCGCTCTGTACAGCCAATGGCGGTGTTCCTGTCGTGAACGCGCTCAGGCCCACTTCACTGGTCTTATGTTGCCAGGCCGTGTTTGGTGTGCTCCGCCAACTTTCCGGACGTGTCGTACCGATGGTGACCCTGGGGATGCGTCACTCTCCGCATATGTGCTTTTTCACCTGTCTCGGCGCATCCTGACACCCTGCCACTCAGTTTCACGCAAATGCGGTTTTAACGGCATACTCAGATGAATCGAGTAGAACATATGGCTGACAGAAACTCGGCGATAATGCGTATCTGGTGAGCCCCAAGAAGGGCAAACCCCGCCGTATGCTGTCAAATAGATTTCAGCATACTTATGAGTAGTCTACGCAAAAAAGTCTATATTATCAAGCTACTTCGAGTGGGCGTGTAATATCTCCACACATACTACTGGCTACGAACTCTGAGCAATAAAGGCAATAGCGTTTTGTGCAAATTTTTGCACCTTTACCTTTTTTTAATCATGATTTTTTATCTTTAAGTTTCGTCAGCTGAGTTTTTCTTGCAACATGCGCGAAGTTCGTATAAAAATCAACCGGTTTTTTAGCACGTTAACCTAACAGCTGACGACAAAATGGTGACCAAGGTAAACACGACTTGCGTTTCCATTTTAATAAAAGTTTGTTTTTGTCTTCTCAGTGTACTTTATGTTGCCTTGGCAACAAGTGTGTGGAAAAACAATTCCGGTTTTAACCAACTGTTTTGGGAGCAACCATCATCTCTTGCCGATCCCAAAGGAGGAGAATATTTTGCCATATTGTTTATGGAAAGCTTAGTTAAGGGTTTTCGGAATATATATCGCAATAAAATGGCGCAAAACATCCCGGGCATGTCTAGCATTTGTTTATCTGTGCTGCTTTCGTTGATTGGTGAGCTGCATCGGGTCTTAATTGGCAACAAAAACATCGTTGCAGCTTTCCTGAGATCTCAATTTTTCACTAAGGAATTTGTGCGCATCATGACATCAGTTGCAACGAAATTGTCGCGTGCGACAACCAAAATTATCCTGGGTAGTAAAAAAAACGTAGTCAGAATTTCATACTATCAAAGTCAGTTTGTGTGATAACAGGCAAGAAATGAGTTAGAAGACAGTATGAATCCGAACAGATTCAGACGCCTCGTTGGAGTTCGGCCAGGAACGACTGTCATCTTCTGAGTGATGACCATACCTGACAAAATTCTCTATTCTCTCCCGACACCCTTTCATGAGGAATTTGATCATCGGTTGTATCCTCGCTTTCTCTAGTTTGTCCAACCAGATTTCAAGTTTCCATTTAGTCCCAAATCGCCAATTTAGGGGCAGTGAGACTCCGGGGCCGGGGTGCTGATTCAAGCTGGCCGCCACTACAGCAATAGCGCACCTTTCCAATCCTACGGCGGGCACAACATTATAGAATGTTGCTGTAGCCGATCCTCTTTCGATGTGATGGAATTATCGTCTGAGAGGTACATGGGGCTGACTGCAATCTATTAACTTAGATACCCAGTTAACATCACAGTTTCCTCGGACGGTACCGGAAAAAGTGCCCCATGATCATCGACCTTTAAGGATTTGTTAGGCAGAATTCCACACGGATCCCGCTATACCGCACGTCTTTAGGCGCTGCTAAGGCCGATGAACTTGACCCGCACGAGATTGGCCAAGAATTCGGGACGCTTGCCGGTCCGGCACCAAGAGGAGATCTGATTGGTCAAAAATCTCGACCCAGCAGCCAATCATGACCCAGTATTGGCCAAATGCCGGTTGCCAATGTCGCATCCAGAACGCGTCAGAACTAAGCTGGGGAAATTACCGTTACTACAGGAGTTCAGTTTCATTCACTCCTGACCCGAACGTTTCTTTGCATCGGGACCCTGCATGCTCAAAGCCCGTCCAAAGTAGTGCTTGCAAGCGGATACGTTTTTATCATCTTAAGATGTTGCTGAGTTCACTGAGGCTAGGTGAAAATGATCACGAGATTGGCAACCTCCCAAAGCCTGAGAGGAGGCTGGAATGAACCAATGCTGAAAAAACTGAACTCACTCAATTCGACAGTTTTCACATCTCGAGCTTTCAAGTACTGCATGGCAGAATTCTTCTTCCTGAAGTTTGCCAGTGTTTATCCGTTTCCACCGGGAAACCGTTTTCTTTGGCGATACATTCCGAATTCAAGGTTTTCCTAACAAAAAACACTGAGTCCACAAAACAAAATATTGGCTCGTTACAATTTTGGTACAATGTCCTTAACAAGATTCTGAACAGAGATGGGATAGAAATCTTGTATAAATCTGTTTTGCGTTGGGTACACTCAGGCTTGAAATGGAGAAGTCTGGGGTCTTTTGTCCGATGGAGGATGATAAAAAATGAAACAGTCGTAAACGAATGAGTTGCACCTGAGCCAGCATTAGAGGGCAAAGATGAAGACTAAAGAGCAACAAGTGAGGCATTAAACAGGAGCACAACTTGTGAAGTCAAGCAGATCACCTATTCCCCAAGGTATCGACAAAGCTCGTTTCCTCGTTTCCAAAGGTATTAAGCTGCCTCACTGAAATTCACTCAGGTCTGACGAACGTTCGAAATGGACCAGATCTGAGGAATCCCATTGGGAATTCGTTGACCCAATTTCTTTCTCCGTAGAAGTTCTTCCACACACCATCTGAAAAACCGAGTAATAAGTGTTCCCGAGTTGTTCCCATCTGAACACGTTTCGAAGTTTTCACTCTAACAGACGAGGACCGTTTTCCGTGATGTTTGTGAGTTAAGGTGCCGTGCAAAATCCTTGAATCTTGTAAATCAATTAGTTGCGTGCTGTTTGAATGACAAAATTATCGATTTCATGAACTATACTTGGCTCCTTGTGCAAATTCTGCCAAGTTATGCCTGAAGGTCATCTGTTCGAAAAGATCGAGTATCCGCTGATTTGATGTGTTTCACCGTTCGAACAAATCCCTTCAGATCATATAGATGAAGAGAACTGGAAGGAATCTTTAAAAGAGCTGTTTGCAAGAGTGGCTATCGGTCACGTGATGACTAGACTTGGCTCGAATCGATATTTGCAAAGACACCGATGGAGGGCTGAGTATGCGTGAGGCATATCGATCAACAAAGGGTTTGACCATGCATTCTTATATAACCAAATTAAGTAACTGGCACGGTTCAATCAGGGCTGGATAGATGAGTATGCTAGATCAGCAAAATTAGACTAAACCAAATGTTCCAGCTTGACTGAATGAAACCAATAGACCGCCTGTTTAAATTAGACAAAAGCTTTGGAATTTCTGTCTCGAATTCCGCGGAAGCAGTTAACACTGGAAGGAAACTGCGCGTCAGCTGACACCCCAGACATGTTAAACCACGTTTAGTTTATAGAGAGAAATTCGAAAAGTTCACGTACTTTTTAAAAAAAACTCACTTGCTCGGACCTAGCCCCACAGGTGTTAGCATTTTGCAAGCAGCGGGACAGCATGTGTTGCCAACTTAAGGTTCTGTGTGTAATTTTTTTCGCAAAAAATTTTAAAACCCTGCAAATTCAACGTTTATGGTGTCTGAAAGTGGGTACACTGTCATTCATTTTCAGTAGCATTCTGTGACCCGTGAGAATTGTAACGTACGGGGATTACATAGCCGAAAAAGGAACTGACGAAATCGAATGCCAGTTGTTTACGGACATGTACAATAAAAAACGCAACACCACGAATGTAGCCAGTGTACGTGTCCCGCAACAAATAGTACGGTCAACGGTCGTAACTTGCTGGCATTTAGAGAGCTGTATTGAGGGCTTCTAGAATTGTACTACTTCGTAGGAACGGTCCATCGACTGTAGAAATGAATTTTCGGCAAGTTTGAAACAAAGAACGGGCCAAGTCATCTCAGGGAGAGTTAATTCAATGGTTAGAGCGCGAATTTACTGATTGGAAGGTCCGAGGTTCGAAACCGACTTCCCTCGTCTAGGATTGGGCAACCTGGCAG